CCTTATAATTTATGAGGGATTTGCAGCTTTCCTAATTAACATCTCTCCTTTACAACTGCAACCTTGTATGTATGGTGCCAAAATGATTTACCAATTTAAATCCCATAATTCATCTTTATCTGATCCTTACTAGCTTATCATAAAATAAAGTCAGAGCTTTATACGTTAATTAGTTGGACAATCCAAATGTATATCTCGTCCTGATTAAATGTTTTAGGATTAACTTTGGAATTAATCAACTCATGTGACTTATTTATTCATTGCAGGGGTGATACTGCATTTTGCAGCCTAGAGTGCAGGCAACAGCAGATGAACCAAGACGAGAAAAAGGAGAAATGTTCGATTGCATCCAAGAAACAACCACCTGCCGCCTCTTCTGGTGCGAGCTCCGGCGTCTCCGCCAAAGGCAAGACCGTTGCCGCCGTATAGAAATAAATCACCCGTGGTCCCAAAAGGATTTTACCCAAGCTCTAAAATTCCATGGTACTAAAAGGAATTAATATATCTAGCTATGAGGGTGGGGAGTCCAAGTTTAACTTTGTAATGCTAATGGGGCAAGTTTTGGACATGTTATTTTATGTGGATCCAAAAAAACAACCTTATACAAAAGAAAAAAAAAATCGAAATCTGTACTTCTTCCTAGTGTCTAATTTTTATCCCTTGTTATCTTTCAGTAGTAATGGAAGAAAATTGCAGATTCACAAAATTTCTTACATCTCCACTATGTCATTGTGATCTTTAATTCATTTGGTTTTGAAGATGTTCTTCAATTTATTCCATTGGGTTACGCTACTAAGTAAAAAACTATTTTCGATAGAAGTTCTATCAGATTTTCTGCGAGATTGTTTTGATGAAATTAATTTAATTTTGTCAAAAATTAATGGGTTTTTTTAGTGGTATAGGGTCTGATTCATGACGAGCCAGCTTAAAAGAATTGTTTGCAACTGCAAAGCATGATTCCATATATATCTAGCAAGAATTGATCCCAGAAAGAAAAAAAAAATTGTTCTCTTTATGGCTTTTAATGAATATGAAAAGCCTTTCTCCTTAATCAATATCCAAGATTTAATTGCAATGAGAATGACATTGGGACTCTTATGATTCGTATTTTTAAGTCAATAAAAAGTAAAAAAAAAAAAAAAGGAAATTACCGACTAGGTTTAATTTTGATAAATAGATGCCCGAAAAGGACGATTCCGTTAATGTGACATTGACCATGATTAGTGCTCATGAAAGCAAATATGGGGGAAGAAGGGGAATATGTGGCCTAGTCAGCTTTGCATGGAGTGGGTCCCGAATTGCACAATACAAAGTGAAAAAAGAAAAAATAACAAATCAAAGGGGAGAAAAAGAAACAAAGGAAAGAGATTCATTTGGAATATTGGGACGGGGAGTCGTTCTGATTGATTCGGCGGGGGATGGCGAATGTGGGCCCACTCGAATGAATTAGAAGTGTCCCCACATACTGTTTTCTTTGTCACGTGGGCCCCGCTGGTGGCTCCACATGGCTTTCTGATTTTAACTCCGCCATGTGATTTGGACGAAATCTACTCCACTGGATTTCTCATCTCTAATTTTTCATTTTCTTTTGAGGAAAAAAATCCCAAGGAAGAAAATGAAAATGAGGAAACGATGATAGCTGAAAAGAATACGTGAGCTCTAGCCTATGGCTTCCCAGTGAAGTTCCCCATTTGGGACCAATCCCCCATAAAGGGACCACTTAGGGTTCTTTTGTGTCGTGGAAATGGCTTCTAAAAAAATAATTTTCTGAAATATGTTAAACACTTTTTAAATGCTTATATTTGTTTTTTAGATAATTTTACCCTAAATATTTTTTATACTAATTAAAGATACGATACATTACCCCATTCATTTTTTTTTTCAAAATTTTTTCTGTCACTTTTCCACTTAAACTTTAATAGTTATAAAATTTGTAATTATTTGAACATTTAAATCAATTGATTTTATATAAATAACAGTACATATATCTTATACGCTTTTAATTCTCATAATTCCTGAAAATATTAAATGAGATTTTAACATTGTCATTTTATGTTTTGATATTATAAATCTGTATTCAGATGTGTGAATAATACATTGAAAATGCAACAAAAACACTTTCTATGATGTTCTTCGTCTTCTAAAAAAATGCTTATGGTTAAACTAAATTATAAAATCTACATAAAAATGGATAAAACTAGTGGGAAAGATATGGCTAAATTTCTTCGGAAGGGTCAGTGGTTTCGATCAAATTGGCCAGTTGAGAAAGAGAATTAAAGCTATAGAATAATATCTGATGCTTTCTACGGAATATTTTTTGCTTTTTCTGGCTTCCCTTGTAAACATAAACCACTTAATACTCCAGTATATTTAATCACATTCATACATGCTGCAAACCATCACATTTGCTTTTATTTCTTGTTTTGCTAGTGTCTGTACATTATGCTTAAATTAACAGTAGGAAGTTTTAAGGCACTGGGGTACTTGCACTATTGTTTATGTCATCTAGGTATATATAAGGGTTCAACAATAATGATAAATGTATTAAATATAGTACGTACTTCACATCTTCTCAAGGGGTATCTGAAATCCCATTGATAAGTTAAAGGCTTAGACATCATAGAAGCGGCTTTGATTCCTTAACAGGACGAGGTTTGGGAGATTGTAAAACAGGTTTGGGAAATAGGGTTTTAGTTTTTGTATAGCTTTGGTTGAAGAGGTTTTCGGGAGTGTCGACACAAGTTGCGCCAATTCCCTTTGTGTTGAGAATCAGGAAACCAGCGACATAAACTTTTAGTGAAAGTTACTTTATTCTCAATTACTTACTCTAAACATTGGAGCAATTCTTGTTCCCTAAAAAATTACCCCCATTTGAGCAAGTGGACATGTGTCTTAATCAAATGCTAATTACGGGCGTCCATGCACTTAAAAACAAATAATATATATATATATATATATATTATATGTATCAGGTGTGCCGTGTCTCTGACTCGAAGTGATTCTTAATTTGTCAAGTGGGGTCAGAGCCAGCCAATCCCATGAGCTTTTTCCACCTCCTTCACTATCTTTTGATCCACCCTGACTGTGATAAACAATCAGAGTTTGCCGGTCTCATTAATAGCCTAAACAATTGCTCATAAGTTAAAATATACGTGAAACATAGTACGATTTCTTTTCTGAACATTTAGTTTTCTAGTTTGGGATTTTGGCTTATGTATGGTCCATTGGAGCCGTTTACGTTGCCATAATCTGAGAGGGTGATAGTGCATCAATAAACAAATAGAGGTTTATGTTTTGATAAATGCATTGTTAATACTACAATCTGATTCTCAACTATCGTTAAAAACATTGCAGGTATAATTCAAGCTTTCAATTCTTCAGATACCAAGCAGCCTCAGTACTTAAATGCAGCTACGAGGTATACAATGAATATTGTCCAATATTGATGATCCTTGATTAGCTCTCGAATCCTCTTTTTCATCGAGGTTAAGCGAGACAGGTGTATCTTGCGTTTGTTTGCCGCAGAAATCCATTCTTAATTTGTTGGATAATTAATGGATTCCAAGTGCCTCAGTGGAAGACCACAAATTCAATAACCATCCACCCCTGTCCATTGTACTTTGTCCTTTAGCAAAAGATGTCTCTTCTGAGTCTCATAGCTTTTTTTGTAATTACCGATCCTCCTGCCCTGCCTACATGTTCTAAACATTCTCAACATATATAATGAATTTATTAAAGATGATTTTGTTTTCCTTTGTCCAGTCGAGTCTTCACCTGTAAAACTAGATAAGTACCCGTGGTTCTAATTTTTAGTTAGAAGTTTATCTTTAGCAAGAGAAAGGTAATCCATTAATTACTACATCCACATGCATAGGTTTACCTCAAATACTAATTGGCTTTAATTGAGAGTATAGTGCATGTCACATGCTGTTCTACAATTTACTTCCAACAGTTTAATGGTTGAATCAATTGATTGTGGTCAATGCAAGATGTAAAGCCAAAGAAACCCATCCAATGAACCACAGGATATGCAAGAGAGATGTTTGTTTTTGCATGATGAGATGCAAGACATAACTGTTGAGAGCCATTTTTTGGGCTAAATGGTTGTTGGGAATCAAGGTGCATTTTGCACTACAATTTCCTTCCCTGGGATATATAGGAGATGGCCTCGCAAAGACCAGCCAACTAGCTACTAGGCGCCAGAAAGGCAGAATCCATCCCCGCTTCCAACCAAACAGATCTAGAGGCTCATCCCCACAGGTCAACTCACAGGTGCAACTTTATGTTGCATTATTTTTACATAAACCCAGTGTCAGTCCAAGCCCTCCATAGCCACACAATATTTGATTCTTGCATACCTAATAATCACTAAATACTCACGATTTTGCAAGTTTAATTGTCAATGTCAAACTCTGGTTGTTTTTTCCCCCCCTCCTTTGCCTTGTTTTTGGGTTCCTACTTGTTTGGACACGACCCACCATTTCGGACAGCAACTCCTCTAATCTCCAAATGACCTTTCCCGCTTTAAAGAGTTTCTTCAAAGTTCCATCGACTACCCACTTCACAACCAAGCCTTAATCAATGCTAATGACTTTGAAATGGTGCTTACCGTTTTAACAAATTTGTTTCCCTTCTTAATGTAGAAAGGACTCCCATCACGAAGCAAAAGGGACACCTAACTTAAGAAAAATCTTTGTCCCTGAGAGACTTTAGAAGAAGATGTTCAGGATTTAAAACCACTAATTATTTCAATGGAAGGGGATAGAGGAGCCTACCTGATTAGAAAAACGCAAATATGAAAAAAAGGGTTCCAATGTATGTTTCTTTACTTTTTCTTTAATAGTAGGTTTCAAGTGTCTTTCATTATTTTTCCTTTTTCTCCGAGAGGGCTCTTTTGATGAATACCGATGGCCATTCATTGGCCCCCTACAATGATTGAGTAGGGACTTTAATGGCCACAGACCAAACCTAACCGCCATGATTGAATCTATAATTTCACCTTAACTCTGAACTTAATTTTTCAAGCCAGTTAGGTTGTCCACTTCAGAGGAAATTGTGCATGGTATTGGTTAGGGGTGTGCAGACGACTAGAACTGTTTGTCCAATTTTCGATTTTTTAAAATCGAAAATTTCAAAATTTTTTTTTAAAAAAATCTGAAATCGAATTGAGAAATATTGATAATCGAAAAATAAAAAATCGAACTACTTCGATTGGTTCGATTCAGTTATCGAAAATTAAATTTATGAAAAAATACTAAAATTATATATCTGTTAGATATCAAACATCGTTTGATTTACTTGCTTGAGCTCAAATTCACATGATTCACACTTTAACTTAGCTATAGCAAAAAATTAGAATTTTTTTGAAAAAAGACTTGTGCAATCAATAAAATTATCCCTCTTTATAGAAGCATTTGTCACTTTAATTAGTTTAGTTGGGAATTTTCTCAATACAACCAAATTAATTAAGCTATTATAACTAAAAACCGAACTAACCAAGTTGAAAGATCGAATTCAATTTGATTCAAATTGGTTCTTCAATTAGGTTTGAATTTGCAAACTGCTAGTATTGGTCCACCTCATCTCAAGGTCAAGTAGTTTTGAAGAAACCTTAAACACTTAACAGTTTATACACACTGCGGTCTTTTAAAGAAGAGATTTCAACTTTGAAAGTCCTTTTTAATAATAATAATAATAATAATAATAATAACAGTATACTATTAATGATGGAAGTGCAACTAGAATAACTTCGGTGGTGATTTTGGTTTCCCGCATGTAGGAAGCCAATAAGGATTTGTTAGGGTACAATCAGGTAGGTGAAGCAACTTCAGGAGTTGGGTAAAGAGGTAGAATAAGAGTTACGTAGCATAACTGGTGAAGGGAGAAAATTTATGGAGGACAAAGAAATAAAGGGGAGCTAGCAGCTGAAAAAAATTTACTGAAACTGGTGGATGGTTCCTATAAAACAAAAGAGGCCCCAGGCAACATATAAGTCCATAAATTTGATGATAGGGCCCATGCCTTATACACAGGGCAGTCCAAGCCATGCCAGGACGGTTGCTGTCTCCATATGTCCAAATCACTACAGGTGAGCTGAGCCATTGGTACACAATGAGCACTCAAAAAATAAAATAAAAAGAAAAAGTTATGGAAACTGGAGCTTGGGATTTTTTGCTGCACAAGTTTGAGCCTCACCAGCATACCCTTTTAGCTTTTCCCTCAATTATCCAGGACACTTTTTCATGCTTTTGTCTATAAATGATATTTCACTTTTCATATATTGGGAAAAAAAATGGCATTTGTCTTCAATGTGATGTTTTAGGATAAGACTTGTGTTGATATTAGAATTTGGAAATTATTTATTCGAATTTTGAGATACAAAGATAAAATTTGTAAAATAAGAGAAGATTATCCTTAATTTGTGTAATCTAAAATCATATATATATATATAAAGTAATTTTCCTCTTATTTTTCATTTTCTTTGTTACTCAATTGAATTCAATTATCTAAACTTCTACCACTTGGGTTTGGCTCCTTTATAATCTTTCAAGAAGTAGAAGAAGCCTTTGTTTTAGATTTCTCCAATTCAATTTGGAAGGGTAATGCTATCTCCCTCTTGGTAGAGATATTTGTTTATACTTGAATGAGGGCCTAAGAATTGAGATTGTCCCATCATAAGTCGTCTATAGGCCAGGGCTCGGGGTAAAATGAATCTTACAAATGGCTGTAACCGAAAGAAGAGGGCAGTGATTCCAATGGCATTCTAGCAGATCAGCATTCAAGTAAATCCAAAACACAAGCCCGATATGAATATTTGTTAGGATTGTTCAGTTGAGACAAATCAAATATCTTTTCAACGTCGGCCCAATTTGATTTTTTCATTTTTCCTTTTATAATCTAAAAGATATCTTCCTTTCAGAAGTTCTAGCTAAGATTAAACACTGTCTTCTTTGCAACCATTTTTCAAAATTAACAATTTGGTTTAGAGATAATGGTTGGAAAGAATCGAGAAGATCACCATTTAAAACCGATATTATTTTAACCACCAAGAGAAATACAGGGAAATTTCAAATCCAAGAATTCTTATCTTCTAATCCTTATTTAAAACTTACCCAGTAGAGCTCAGTATGGTTAGAATTTTTCAGTCATTGTTGATCATTTCATACTATTCAATCTTTAGACTCCAAGCTACTTTCTTCAAATCCAAGAAACAAAATGGTGAGATTTGTGATTGCCATTTGCATTTTTATGGCCTGCCTTGCGGTGGCAGAGCCCAATACGTCACCTTCGTCAGCTCCATCGCCCTCAGCGGGTTGCTCCACAATCATATATGACATGGTGGATTGTGTCTCGTTCTTGAGCGTTGGCAGCAAGGACAAGAAACCATCCCCTACGTGTTGCTCTGGCTTTGAAACAGTGCTGAATACTGATCCCAAGTGCATTTGTGAAGCATTGAAGAGCAGTGCTGAATTGGGTATCGACGTGGATCTTAAAAGGGCTGCCACTCTGCCTTCTGCTTGTGGGGTCTCTGCTCCTCCTATTAGCAACTGTGATGGTAAATACTAAATGATCACCTGTTTAAAAGTTTCCGTTATCATAAAATGTTTTTAATCTATTACTTTTTTGATAACAATGGACTGTTGCCAATGCCAATGCAGTTTCTTTGTCTCCTGGTGCGGCTCCAGGTACAGCTCCTGGTGCGGCTCCTGGCACAGCTCCTGATACAGCTCCCGGTACGTGCTCATTCTTCTCGACGCGACATATATTTTCAACTTTTCATCTTTCTGTTAATTGATCAGATTTACTTTTCATGATGATTAGAAGTGATGGATTTGAGAGTCAGATTATGATCGTTACATTCTTCCTACTTAGATTACAAGGAGAGAATATTGCAGACCGAAAAAAGATTGAGATTGTGACAAGCAAATTTTAATCAAATTTATCATACTGAGAACTACATTGAGGTTCAACATGTAGGAGTACATGAATATGAAGTTTGATTAAGCTAAATTAATTACTGCTATATATGTTGCATCAAAATGTAGTATATTAAGGATTAATACTGCGTTTAAAAGAACTCATATTTTCTTCGCTATACTACTGCAGTTAACCCTCCACCACCACCTTCCGATGGAGCTCCATCCCCCAGCACCCCGGAGGCGCCTGCCGATCCAGGGTCATCGATTACCCCAGCACCATCAACCGACGACGGTGATGAAGTTGCTAAACAAGCTCCGGCGCCGGCCCTGTCAGGAACCGACTCTCTATCAGCTTGTTTCTTTGTAGTCATTAGCATGCTAATGGTTTCTTTCTCTTATGTTTCAGTCTAATTTCATTTCTCTTTGCTTTGTTTCTTAGGCTAGTTAGTTTTGAACTTGGTAGTATGATCGATCCTTGTGGTGTCTACTTCTCTAGCGCTGTAGCTCATTGCTTTGTCTTTTAGGTTTTGAACTCAAACGAAGTTCCCTTCGTTTCCCTTTTTTGTCTATAAATTTCTCGCCGTTTTTAATATTTTCAGTTTTATTTGAAAGTAGTAATTATTTATTTGTTCTTCTAAATCGCAATATAAGAGTACTAAGTCTGGAGCTTCAAACTTTTCTGGGTCGTTGTGCTTTTGACAATGGCTTCATCTCAACTGATGAGCCCAGGCCTCGATTTGAATTCCCTAAACTATATAATATATAAATCATCACCCAGCCATATAAAAATGGAATTAATTATATTCCCTTAGAATCAAGCGTTGATCAGTGTTCACTTATTGCCTACTTACCAACTGCAAATTTATACTAGATTCTCTCTGATGCATAATTAGCAGTATTTTTGCTTAAGACTGATAACAATTTGGGCTCTTCATTATGCCGGAAAGATATAAATATATGATAATATCACTTTTCTCTCCTAGAGCTTAACAACCCATGTCAAATATGTTGGTCATATACCAAAAATAGTAGATTAATAATAGCTCAAAAATATGTGCATCCCATAAAAATGACCAAAGTGTTTATATTGAGACGTGTGTATTTCTCTAGCTTGTCGCCTCCAGGATACAATAGTCCATCATGTGCCTCTATTTGACATTCTAAAGGGCTACATTGCCTAACAGGTAAATAGCTCTTGTACAACACCTTTTCTCCACGTATTATTATTTAATATCTTTTATAAAAGTGATAACAATGTAGTGTAAGAGAAATATGTAAGAAAAAGGTTGAACATATAAAGATGTAGAACATGTGCAGGAATAATGTGCAAGGAAGGGTTTCGAACGGGTTAGGCAAGGCCTGTTTTATGGGTCTAAGAATGGTAGGTAGAAGGGCAAATGATTTTATGAACTAATTCATATAATAAATTGGTCTTTAAATGTTCAAATTAAAAAGTAAATGCCCATATTAACTTCTTCCAAAAAGTATACTTTTGACTTTATAAAACTTAGATCAAGACATTTATCTTGTTGCTCGTAATTTATTTATTTATATTAAAATACTCATAATTCCCACAAAAAACTAGGCTACTGGACTATATGAAAAAGATAAAAGCATTTGCTATTACAGGTATTTGCTTAGAAGGGTGAGAAAATTCTTATGAGTTTGATAGTCAGAGTCAACGAAAAAGTGCATAGTTTTCCGTCATTGTTATGCTCATGGCTTATCATTAAGCATGGAAAGGGAGTGGGGGGTTGAACCGTTGGAAGGGAAGTGTGTTGGGTCAATTTGTTTATTGTGCTACTCATTGCCATCTGGTATCTGCTGCTATTATATCATAGCTCTGAAGAGGATTTCACGTCCTCAGGAATTAATCCTAGTAATCAAGATTTCATAACTTTAACCACAAATCAAGGATGATAAATGAAGTTACTACATCGAGTGCATTCCCACTCCAGAAATCTGGAATTTTAGTACACAAGAGGAAGGAAGTTTGGAAAACCAACCCATGTCCAAATAAGCTCCGAGTCTCTGAGAAAAGAAACAGAAAATGAAAAATCCAGTCCCCTCCCTTAACAAAGGTGAGGGTGATAGATGGCAAAGGTAGTTTCCAGCTTAGCATATTGAATTTGACTTAGGAAGTAGGTGTTAGGATGGGAGTTAGGTTGCACTGATTAATAAAGGCACACAGCCATTAGTATTCCAAAGCATTTGAGACCTCACAAAAGTGTAAAGCCATATTTTGTGGCCATACCATACCAAAGCTTTAGCATCACTTCGTTTTCTTCTTTTGATTGGGCCACACAGCTTGTAACTTGAACTGTCAAGAAACATTACGGATTAAGTTATCTAACTCATGTTATATTTATATGTTCAAGAGATAATTTTTAATTTAATAAATGTGATATTTTTTATTATTATTTTAGTTTTTTTATATAAAAAATGAATTTAACACCTGATAACTCATTACACAAGAGTCAACAACAACAAAAAATACTAAATTAAAATTTTTTAAAACCAATATTGAATTTAAAATCAATTCATAATTCTAAAGTGACTTTTATTATATCTATATATATCTAAAATACTTAACTTAAAAGATGCAAAATTTTGTTATACTTTTTTAATAAGTTGGGGGTTTCGAGATCTTAAATCACATGAAAAATGTGACAGACATGTGCTAGCATTAACTAACCCTGCTATGGTGATAAATGATTGTTTTACCATCCATTTCTTTTACCAATAAAATTAGTGTTTTTTCATAAATGGATTTGAATTAATTAATCTATATCTTAAGATTGTAAGTCAGATCTTACAAGTTAATTTATTCTCGTAATCTCGAGAGATGAGCTCCCGAGATTATTCTCATACCTCTTAAAACTATAAAGCATGTATTTATCCTTTTTGTTAAAAATGTATGCTATTTAGTAACTGTTCCTTCTTTGTTTCTTTTTTACTTTTACTTGTAAAATTTTATCTTTCATCTTTCTTAAAATTCCCAATAAAATTATTATGCCTTTAGGAAAAATAGATTAAAACTGTTGGATTCTTAGTATTTTTCATGTACAAAATTAATGCAGAAGAAATTTAAGTATATATGAAACTTTCTTCTGAAAGAAGTCTTCTTGTTGGTTTTTTTTCAAAGAAATTTGTGGACTCATCAAATTATGCATTGTTCACATAACAATGCAAGTGATATATATATATATATATATATATGTGTGTGTTACATATAATGTAAAGTAAATTATTAACACTTTATATATTTAAGGAGGATTTATAGTGGGTGGCCATCAATTTCTTGCAATTGGCTAGAAAAAAGAAAAAAGAATGCACTGAAGACAAGAAGAATTTCAACAAATAAAAATAATAAAAGCACAAGCCTTATTGCCTGATGGGTCTCTACCACTTCTTTCATTCATTCTTTTAAAATTTAAGATACATTTCAATGGCTAAAGAATCTTTTAATTATAAGTCAATTTCAAGTGTTTATATTATCTATTGATTGAAGTTTGAATGCACTTCAAACTTAAAAGGATTGCTCTACTAGCTACCTTTTATTTGTTTTATAAAACTTTAGTTAATACTGCAACAATGGAAGCAAATCCTGCATAATTTTGTTAAAAAATTCCATGTCATGGTAAATAATAATAATAATAATAAACAAATCAAGCTTCGTACAAAAGAATTCGTAATGAGATAAGTGTAATGATTTTAAAGATTTGTTTGGTAATCGAAAAATGATTTATTAAATATTAAATATTTTATTTAAATATTAATATTTTAAACTAATTTTTTAAAATTAAATACTAATATTTTATTTTTTATATTTTAAGTTAAATATTAATATTCATCAAATTTATACTCATAAACTTAATATAAAAGTATTTTTGTTACTCTCTAAAAAATGTCTTACGCCTTTCAAGGATGTAATACATTTTTCGTAATTAATCCTATTAATTCGTAAAATAGTTTACATCTGAAATTAATTTTTTATTTTCCAAACAAGTATAGATTTTGAAAAAGTTTTCTAAAAAATATTTGATTATAAAACAAACAAACCTTAAATTATGATATCTATTATAATGTATCTCATGATACACTTTTGATATTTGATAATCTAATAAACATATTGATCTCTTTTTTTTGTTAATATCACAATATTTTATAAGACATATACCGTATATCATAATGATATATCACAAAAGAATATAATCTAGAGCATATGACACAATCAATTAAAATATTTTAAAACATATAAACACGATAATACAAGGATCATTGACCATATCACCAATGAAATTCAAAAATATCTCTTTTACAAGAAAACTTGAATGTATAAGATATATTAACGGCCACCATTATCCTTTCCGATAATATGCATAATATCTATAATCCCATGCTACAAGCTAGATTTTACCTTTTTTCTTATACTTACACACATAAGCAATTAATAACTGGTTCTTGAATAATTGACTTAAAGCATCAAACCCTCCCTTTAAGAATCTTAATATAACTTTGTTTACGCCATGATTAGCTAGTCAATCTCGCCACCCATATGCTTCCATATAACTTTGTGAAGAAAAACTGATAATCTTATATTAATGATGTGGGCTATTATCGTGTTGATTAAGTACTAATTTTAAGCCAAGATGAAGAGATGACATAAAAAGGGCGAAGAGGCAGAGGAGTGCATGGATGGACCTAACCACCAACCATAAGCTCCATGCAAAATTAATGTCTCCCCACACGTTTTCTTCATTAATAATCCAATTCATTTGCACCTATACACCTCATCACTTTTAATTAATAAATTATATTGACAACAAGGATGCATTCCGCACCACAACTTCAAAATAGAGATAAAATAAAAAAATATATAAATTAAGATTTTCAAAGATGAGATTATTTGTCATCGATTTCGTATTAATAAAAAATTGAATAGATTTAAATTTTTTAAGTAAAAAATGTGGACTTGTAATACTAGTGTTTAATTCAAATTTAATCTCAATTGATTAAATTATTTTATTAATAATTATTATATTTTAATTAAATTTTAATATTAAAGATTAATATAATTTTTTTATTATTTTAATAAAATATAATAATTAAATGAAAGAGTCGAGTTTGAATTTGATTTATTTTTTAATGAAAAAGCTTGATAGACTCGACCCTATTTAGACCATAAACACCTCTAAGCAAAGTGTAGTTTTAAGATCGAAAATTAGATTAAGAAATAATTTGAAAATAGTTGGGTGCTAAAAAAAATTTAATAAAAACAACATGATTCCCCCCAAATAATAGTATAATAATAAACAAAAGCACATCTAGTCTAAAGAAAATCTTAGAAGAGAAGGGTTGGTCGACAACGCCACCAAATACCCAACGCACAGTCAAGGCACGCCACCTCCAAACTGTGTATCCATGGAAAATGGGTTAATAGAGACTTCAAACATATCTACAAATTTTTTGTCTTTTAGCCAAAGAAGACTCTTTGGTTAACCGGAAAGAAAAGATGGGGAA